CGTCTCGTCACACGCCAGTAGCCTGCTGGATCTCTTTTTGGCCACGCATCCTGCCCCTTACAGCACTGCTGTCCTGTCCCCCTTGGGTAACTCAGATCACGGTGTTGTGGAGGTTAGGTTTCGGTCAGAAGCCGCTGTGGCAGCAGAAACTCGCACAGGCCGCAAAACTTGGCATTACGGACATGCCGACTGGGAGGGGCTCAGAGACTTCTTCTCTACCTTTCCTTGGAGAGATGTCTGTTTCACTGACGCGGATGCGTCGACTGTCTGTTCTTCAATAACCGAAATTATCCACGTCGGAATGGAGGAATACATCCCTCACACAGTGAAAGTTCCTAAGCCAGGGCCCAACGGCTGGTTTAACAAACCGTGTGACACTGCTCGCCAGCAGAAGATCAAGGCCCACAGAACCTACTTACAAAACCCCACTGTAGAGAACAGACAAGCCGACGTCGAGTCCAGAAACAAATATAACGAAGCGGTTCGCAATGCCAAAAACCAGCATGATATAAAAGTTAGGCACAGGGTAATGTCGCAGCGCAATGGCAGTCGGTCTTTCTGGACGCTGGCCAAGCAGATTGAAAAGAACTTCTCACACAGCAGCCTTCCACCACTTACGTGTCAGGATGGAACTATTGTATTCGACTCAAAGGCCAAGGCGGAAGTGCTAGCCAAGATCTTTGCTGCCAACTCCACCATGGACGTCCCCACCAACGCCCAAGTGCCGTCAATCCAAAGGGTTCCCCACACTATGCGGGAGGTAACATTCAGGCATAAGACCGTAAGACGAGTGCTCTTGTCGCTCGACATCAACAAAGCTTCTGGTCCGGACTTGATTCCTGCCATTGTACTGAAGAGATGTGCAGCGGAGCTTGCGCCAGTTCTTTCGCGTCTCTTCCAGATATCTTATGAATCCGGCACCTTCCCAGAAAACTGGAAATTTGCTCATGTACAGCCCATCCCAAAAAAAGGATCTAAAACCGACCCTTACAACTACAGGCCTATAGCTCTGCTTTCTGTTATAAGTAAAGTGATGGAGAGGTGCATAAATCGCGAGCTTCTAGACTACCTCGAACGTCACAGCTTGATTAGCGACAGGCAGTACGGTTTCCGGCACTAACGATCCACAGGGGACCATCTAGCTTACCTCACGCAACTGTGGAGTAAACTCATCCAGTCTCATGGTGAGGCTCATGTCGTTGCTTTTGACATCACGAAAGCGTTCGATCAGCTGTGGCACGCTGCCCTCTTAAGCAAACTTCCATCCTATGGCCTCCCAGAAAAGCTTTGCAGATGGGTGGCTGACTTTATCTCTGGCCGCAAGATATCCGTAGTAATTGACGGATTCTCCTCTTCATCCCACAACGTCAACGCGGGTGTTCCCCAGGGATCGGTCTTGGCTCCAACACTGTTTCTCTTACATATCAACGACCTCCTTTCCTGCACGATCAACCCAATCCACAGCTTCGCTGATGACCTCCTTTCCTGCACGATCAACCCAATCCACAGCTTCGCTGATGACAGCACTCTACATGCAGGAATTCAAAGTGACAAGCCGATATCTGCCGCTGAGCTAGAAAAAAGAAGACTAGCGACGACTTCTTCTCTGACAAGAAACCTGGAGGCTATCACTGCTTGGGGACGCAACAATCTTGTACAGTTCAATGCTTCCAAAACCCAGTACTGTACTTTGACGAACAAAAAGCGTCCTAGCGCTCATACAGTTTCGATGGACGGTCAAGTTCTACCAAAGAGCCATTCATTTCGGCTGGTCGGAGTCCAGATCACCGAGGACCTGATCTGGCACGAACACATCTCTTCAATAGCTGCAGCTGCTGGGAAAAAGCTAGGCTATTTGTTTAGGGCTAAGAAGTACTTTTCTCCGCATGACCTTCTCACTCTATACAAGGCCCAGATAAGGCCTAGCCTCGAGTATTGCTCACACATTTGGGGTGCTGCCGCCCCGACTACACTGTCCATGCTCGATGCTGTCCAGAGGAGCGCGGTCCGACTGATCGATGACTCTTCTCTAACAGACAGTCTCGGGACTCTTTCGCACCGGCGGGCCGTCGGCGATCTAGCTCTCTTCTATCGCTACACCAACGGGCTTTGCTCCTCAGAGCTCTCTTCCATGATGCCGCCGCGCGATGTGCCTGCCAGACAGACCCGCCTGACTTCGGCGTCCCATCCTAACCGTGTCAAACTTCGTACCTCCAGAACTGGCCGATACGACCGCTCCTTTGTCCCGAGGGTGTCTAGATTGTGGAACAATCTACGGGAGGAAGCTTTTCCCAGTTCTACTAACCTTAGGCAGTTCAAAAATCGTATTAACAAAATTTCTTTGGGATCATCATAGCAGGCGCGGTGTTCCGGCATTTAGGCTTCTGCCTGCGCGGCTGTTTCGATATATAAAAAAAAAAATTCAAATTTACTAACATAAAATATATAAGGTGTTTTCAAACTGAATGTCAATATTTAAGAGGGCGACTTTTGGTTCCATTTTATGAAGAAAACTTCATATAATTGTATGTCCTAAACGTCTTGACTTTTGAGAAACGGGGTGGTAAGCTTTCATTCATTTTTTTGTTACGATCTGTCATATCACTTTAAATACTTTATTAAAATTCTGCATATATGTACTATCAAGAGGTTTTTTTTAATGTACGAATTTTCCACCAGCGACGTTGGTAACGATTTCTCTTAAAATAAAAACTTTTAATTGAAATCCCGTCATTTCTAGGCAAATTTGATTGCTTAATTTTTGTTCACTCCGATGCACGGTATTCGCTTACAAAAATAAAATAACGTTTCTTTGCATGATCCTAATATCGTTAGTATGATAATGTCACTATGTCGCGAAATAGATTGTATTGTTCAGGTGAAAACCGTGCGTCAGACTCAAAGAATCCAATTTTTCATGTCCGACCCACTATTTCCACCAAAAAATTCTCTGCATGGTGATATTGTCATGTTAACAATATTGTTATGATCGTATTTATAAAAACCGTGCATCAGATTGAAAAAAAATCATTTCGCATCGATTTTTGCTTCGGACTGATTGAAAATTTTAATAAGAGAGAAATAAACAGCATACCACTGTCTATCAAAACAGGCAGGTAAAATTAAAAGAATGCCTCTTGACACGTTTACATGTATGCCAAATATCATTAAGTGGTAATACAGATATTCATAATCAAGGATTTATTTTTTTCACCTTTTTTACCACCCTGTGTTTCAAAAGCTAAAACTTTTAGGACATACGATCATTTGAAGTTTTCATCTTAAAATGGACTTGAAACCACCCCCCTAGATATGGACATTGGAAAAGAAACTGTATTTAGCTGTCCTCACTTTTTGTTCATATACCACATTCTACAACATTAATATATGGTGCAACACATTTGATAATACAACATATTGTTCTTTGAGGCTCAGTGCATTGATCTCCTTGTTCTTGATGATGCTACTGAAGTATGCTTAGTAGCTGAAGGCTCCATTATTGATAGCAATTTAAATCCAAAATTTATACCCAGCAGTTTAAATACAAATCAAATTCTGTACCTTAGAGGCAGATTAGGTAAAGGCCATTTTTGCCTGAAATGAGTCTTACATGTTAAGTTCATGATAAAGTTGGGAGTTTTAATTTGATACTTGCAACATCTATCTACCCGTAATGATGAGTGAATTATGAATGCAATGAAACTATCTTAAAACTACCTATTAGGGCTTAACCCAGTCTGACTTAGAGGTAACTACAATTTTCAACATAATGGGTCTTTTCCGCTTATCTAGTTGTTTGAATTGTTTGGACTTTGTTTAACAGGAAAGTAATTCCCTTGATGAGTCACAATTTTCTTTTATTTTCCCATTCGTAATTAATTATGGAATTGTCATAAAGTTTTTCTGATTTTGCTTCATGCTGCAACTCTATTCTTCTGTTTACTCTCTGTAACACTTCATTTTTGGTAATCCTACATGACCATGGCATTTTGAGCACCCTGAAATAGCGATGGTCAATAATAGTAATTATGATCTTCACATACACACATTATACATACTTGTGCCTGACATTCTACATAATCTAGAGTCCCACAATGATTTGTGAAAAAGCATCTCTGACATCGACAATGCAATAATTGCACTTGCCATACAATGCTTCTTATCCATGTAGGAACCATCTCATAAAGTCTGTGAGAATGAATCACCCCTGAAAATAATGCGATAAGTATATAATATGGATATGCAATGATTTGTTTTGTAACTTACCAACCTTCATCAAGAGAATAGCTTTGTTGTCAGCTTCTGGACTTTCATACACACAAATATAATATTATAATATAATATATCCATGTGCATTAATTTTCCTAACTCAAAAATTTCTTGAAGATATCACAGGTTGTGGAATTTGTTCAATATAGCGAGGTATTTTTGAGACATTATTTGCAAGAAAATTATAAATTGTGGTTCTGATTTCCATTGAACGTCAAAACAACAACATAACCTCAAGCCAAAACTGTCAGTATGTCGGAAATGTAAAGCAGGACATACATGTACGTTAACGAGGGAGACGTAATATTATCGAAATCAAGGAGGCCATAAACGCGCCCTACAACTGTAGGGACGACTGACGATATGGGCCTAAATGCTTAATCCATTTTTTTATATCTGAATGTTCTGTATTGGAGCAAGTATTTAATGCTGTTTTGCTCAAAAAAGGTGTTACGAAACAGTAAAGATAACTTTGGATTTGTCATATAAAACGATTCATTACTTCAGTAAATTGGAAATCTTCTGGAAATGGCAATTTATATCTACCACAAATAAACTTACCACCTTTACATTGTGAATATCCATCCATCAGTTCCAGAAAGAAGTCTGGGTATATCAAAAAAAAAGCTAGAGAAATAAAAGGGCTTGATCTATTCGATTGAAATCAATATACAGACAGGCAGTCAAAGTTTTGTTGCTGATATGAAGAATATTGATCAATATTCACTTACTTGTATATAAGCAACTGCTAAACTCTTCGCATAATAAACTTGTGTGTCATTTTTCGCCCAAAACTGCAACTTCCCAGATTTCAACTGATTTTCTAGCTTTTCATGTGATATCTTCAGGAGATATGTGACCAACCATTGATATATTTCGATAATCGCTAAAACGCAATCATATCATTAGCAAATCATATTCCGATTCGAACGCGTATCTGCATTTGCGTTTAATTAACACGGAAAAGGGACTGAGATACTCAGTTGTCTTAGTGCCTCAACATAAAGCCATATGTAAGCATGATTGGGAGCTAGCTATGGACTTACTATTTGGACAGCATATTTCTTGTGTACTTCTTGCATTGAATTTCTTTGCTAGTATATCTAACCCATGCGTAAGGAAGTCAATGGAATGTAGAGGTGAGGAAATGGTTTGCCTTTTAAGCACATGTGGCCACAACTTTAACAGATAGTTACTGCACTGTTGTATCAAAACATGGTTCTCGCCTTCATACGTAAGATTCGCGTCGTGGTCGTTTCTAATGTCCCCTATACCTGATGCTGAAAAAATATGATTTTAGAATTGATATAAAAATATTCCATTCTCCTTCATAGCCTAACAAGGAAGGGTTGGCAGGAGCGGAACGCGGATTTCATCTAAATGACTCGTATAATTAGGTCTTAATCCTGAACAGAATTTCGTTCAAAGCACTTCAGTTCATGATAAATAATTAGTCAATGAAGCATGCCAGTTTGAGTTAAATACGTGTAAAAGTACTGCCCTGATGTGGCGTATCCGCTATTTGTTCATGTGCCCTGGCTAAGCCGTATATTGTAAGTTGACGACTACATCACATAGATTTCATGAAAAAGTTCATGAATTGGTTTTTTATTTTTTTTTTAATTTTTTTATACCACAGCAGCCGCGCAGGCAGAAGCCTAAATGCCGGGACACACTATGAGGATCCCAAAGAAATTTTGTTAATCCGATTTTTGTGCTGCCTAAGGTTAGTAGAACTGGGAAAAGCTTCCTCTTGTAGACTGTTTCACAATCTCGACACCCTCGGGACAAAGGAGCGGTCATATCGGTCACTTCTGGATGTACGAAGTTCGACATGGTTAGGATGGGAGGCCAATGTCAGGCGGGTCTGTCTGGCAGGCACATCGCGCGGCGGCATCATGGAAGAGAGCTCTGAGGAGCAAAGCCCGTTGGTGTAGTGATAGAAGAGAGCTAGATAGCTGACGTCCCGCCAGTGCGAAAAAGTTCCGAGACTGTCTGTTAGAGAAGAGTCATCGATCAGTCGGACAGCCCTCCTCTGGGCAGCATCGAGCATACGTAGTGTAGTCGGGGCAGCAGCACCCCAAACGTCTGAGCAATACTTGAGGCCTTATCTGTGCCTTGTATATAGAGACAAGGCCATGCGGAGAAAAGTACGTCTTAGCTCTAAACAAATAGCCTAGCCTTTTCCCAGCAGCTGCCGCTATTGACCAGATGTGTTCGTGCCAGATCAGGTCTTTGGTGATATGGACTCCGACCAGCCGAAATGAATAGCTCTTTGGCAGAACTCTGCCATCCATCAAAACAGGATGATCGCTAGGACGCTTTTTGTTCGTCAAGGTTCAGTACTGTATTTTGGAAGCATTAACACAAGATTGTTGCGTCCTCAAGCAGTGATAGCCTCCAGGTCTCTTGTCAGAGAGGAAGACGTCGCTAGTCTTCTTTTTCCAGTTTAGCGGCAGACATCGTCTTGTCACTCTAAATTCCTGCATGTAGAGTGCTGTCAGCAGCGAAGCCGTGGATTGCGTTGATCGTGCAGGAAAGAAGGTCGCTGATATGTAAGAGGAATAGTGTCGGAGCCAAGACCCTGGGGAACACCCGCGTTGACGTTGTGGATGAAGAGGAGAACCCGTCAATTACGAGGGATATCTTCAGCCAGAGATAAAGTCACCACGTCTTCAAAGCTTTTCCAGGAGGCCACAGGATGGAAGTTTGCATAAGAGGACAGCGTGCCACAGCTAATCGAACGCTTTCGTGACATCAAGAGCAACGACATGAGCCTCACCATAAGACTGGATGAGTTTACTCCACAATTGCGTGACGTAAGCTAGGAGGCCCCTGTGGATCCGTGGCGCCAAACACTTAGGCGAGGAGGGGATGCCCATGGTGGAGTTAGCAGCAAAGATCTTGGCAAACACTTCCGCCTTGGCCTCGGTTACAATCGTTCCATTCTAACACGTAAGTGGTGGAAGGCTACTGTCTGCCATTGCGCTGCGACACCAACCGTGCCTAACTTTTATATGGTGCTAATATTTGGCATTGCGAACAGCTTCGTTATATTTGCTTCTGGACTCGACGTCGGATTGTCTGTTATCTACAGTGGGGTTATGTAAGAAGGTTCAGTGTGCCTTGACCTTCTGCTGGCGAGCAGTGTCACACGATTTGTTGAACCAGTCGTTGGACCCTGGTTTAGGTACTTTCACTATATGAGTGATCTATTCCTCTATCCCGACGTGGATAATTTCTGTTATCGAAGAACAGACACCCGACGCATCCATGTCATCGAAACAAACGACTCTCCAAGGAAAGGTAGAGAAGAAGTCTCTGACCCCTCCCAGTCGCGGGCTGGGAGAGTTTCTGCTACCACAGCGGGTTCTGACCGAAACCTAACCTCCACAGCACCGTGGTCTGAGTTGCCCAAGGGGGACAGGATAGCAATGCTGTAAGTGACAGGATGCGTCGTCAGAAAGAGATCCAGCAGACTACTGGCATGTGACGAGACTAGAGGGAAAAAATAGGGCTCGTCACCAGCGCTGGTGATTGATGTTCAGGAAGTCGATCTTGACAGCGAGCTATTCAAGTAGGTCATCCCAGTTATGGTCCTAGGGAGAGCGATAAAAGCAGCAAATAAAATTGGGGGATGATATGCAGTTGAGGAGAAGTCACAGAATGTTCTTCCGGTCTGGTTCCTGACTGCTGCGAGCAAAAGCCACAACTCCCCCATTCTTTCTCAGATTGGAGTGCACCTCGTAATTTGAGAAGCTAAGATGGTTAACCGGTGTAGACCCTGAGATTTTTGTCCCCGCCAAGAAAAGCATGGCGGGACGATTGGATTGCAAGTAGTGATGAACAGCATCAATGTTGCTGTTAATCTCACAGATGTTCGTGTAACAAATTTTATCTTCGATGTTGTTCCCTCGAGTCCACCCTCTACCCGGACATTCCAAGAGTGCAGTGAGTTTACGTCCGGAATTCTTAGTACCCGAGGGATCTAACATCATTATTAATTTCTTTGTTTGGGGGAGATAACCGACTACGTAGATTAGGTGTGGAAACATGCGGACATTTATAAGAAAAACTGTTTTAGATAGTGGGAAACGAATTTCATTCAGCGTCTAAAAATTTGTGATGTAATGGTGAGAAATGAGATACAGAATGTAATCCCCCATATTTCGCTTGCCAATCGAAACCACATATGACTTTGACAAGTAAAAACCGCAGGATAATTTTCAGATGTTACATACAGAATATATTTCAATAACATTGGTATGTGCTTTGGTCTCCTAATAAAGTATCATCCACTATAATTTTGATGTTGACGACAAAAGTATTCGTCGCATGAGTGTTGTCACAGTACACTTTCCTAGAATCGCTGTACATTGGAAGTTGTTTCTCAATTTCTTCTGTGGAAAATTACGCCATATGTACGACTGTCAATATCTTCTATAATTCAATTCAAATATCAGTACACTATTTTTATTCACATCATATAGTGCGACATAATGATGCTTTCAGCCATATTTTGTACTTGATCGCCATGAAATACGAGTATCAATTAATAAGAAATGGAAAAAACATGCGGTAAACTTAAAATGTGGAAACGCATTGCTGTTGTGACGTGACGTCACCAATTGCGATTTGTGACCAGCCAACCCTTTGTTAGCTGGTCAGTCCGATTTAAAATGGCATGAGTGCGTTCACAATTATTACGGCGCGCTGTCGAGAGACTGACGTTTATAGGATGTATGTGGTTAAGATTTGCAACTACTTGGAAATGTGAACGACTTCGCGCGGTTTAGCAGGTTTTCCAAGGCTTTTCTAATTTATTATGTTTCAAAAAAATATATAATTCTTGTTCATATCATGCAGTTTAAGTTACTATGTTAGCAAAAATTCGTGATACACTGACTAGTACATTTTTTTGCAGTGCAACGCGCTGTAAAGAATTAATCATCTAAGAAATTCCAGAATGGCGTTCGGGTCTCAGAAGAAACGTTCAAACTTACAAAAAAAAGTTCCGTCTCATGTGGAAAAGCCAGAAGGCGATACTAACAAATAACAACATCCGTGTGAAACGAATCTTTAAAACTGAATGAGTGATGTGCATTTGGTTGCCGCCTTCGACGTAAATGTGAACGCAGTTCAGTCGTTTGTTGTCACTGCCATTGATTGCTAACCTGCCAGTTGAATGTTCCAGCTTTTAAACGTTGTTGTAATGGACATAACCTATAAATACTTAGTAAACAGATGTTATGTCAAAAACTTGACAGTAACCTAACCAAAACACAATCAAATGACAAGTCATTAGTTATGATGTCAGTGCGAAGCGCGCCCAAAATGAAGCGTTTAAATCAACCTCATCGGTATTGCAGTTTCAAATATTTAATTCAAAATGAATACAGACATTTACATGAATGAAATATTTGTTTACGGTATTAACGTAAACAATCGATAGAAATTTCAAAAAACTATGCATCTTTCCTATTGATCCGGTATGTCTGATTTGGGACAGATTTAACCAGAAAATGAACGGTGGCTAGGAACTTTCTCGATGCATAGTATCTATAACTTCTCTTCAAGAACTGGGATCGATTTCTATTACAAGCAGCACATGAACCAAAAAGCGCACCAATTCAGAACAGTTTGACATCTAAGCCTGCATCACTTGGAATACTGTCAACAACATCAACCTTTTAGATAACCATGTCCTCCACATGTCTCTCTACACTCTTGGATAGCATCTCTCATTGTCCAGCCAACCACGGGTTTGCTAGCGGAGGATAAAGCGTGTATTTCCATCCCTTTCTCGGGTCCATCTTCACTTTCAATGCCCATCATTCTGTCTATAGAAAACTGATAGAATACTTCTGACAAGTACGTGTTGAAGTTTCTGATAATGTATGTTGCCGCCAAGAATGGTAACAGTCGGTGTTGCTGAAATCAAAGATTGCTTATCCAGAATACATGCTGGTTGCTATTGAGTATGCAAAATATGAGTATTAATTCTGTCTGTGGACGGATATTAAAAGAAAAATGACCAAATAATAATCCGTATCTTGCTAGCCGCCGGGATGTTCCATTTTCCACCTCTCCTGAGTTTAGAGGAGGTTACATAAGCCATAAGAACAAACAGGGGGCGTGAATATGTCCACACGAGGTACGTTCATTTGAACTTTTTTCTTATATACGCCACGGAATCGCTTTTCCCTCATTTGTCCCTACGACAAGGAACGGTTCTGAATACACTAGCAATACGGATCCTCACTCCAACGCTTTTAATTTCATTGACTTCAAACTAGTTAATAACTGTGGTGTGAAGCTTGGAGCATGGATGGTGTTGGATCCATGTTAAGTTGCAATTTTTATGTTAAATTTGACACGGTAGATAAACCAAATAGTGAATAATAAGCAAAGTTGAAAAATAGGTGAAAAGATGTCTGGTGGTATGGAAGAAAGCAACCTGCAAAGCTTTTCAGGCAACAGAATCGTCTCCAGTGCAAATTGTAAATCATTACTTCTCTGCCATCAGACTGATTGTTACCACAAAATTGAGCAACACAAAATGTTATCGCAAAGATGATTCTATCTTGTAGAGAGCCGCGGGACTGTAAGCGCGTTCAGATATAATTAAGGCAATAAGGTAATCGACACCCGAGCCATACAGAGACAATCTAGGATTGGCACGTACCTGGGTGTAACTGTCGCCTGGTCTGGAGGAGCTCCTCTCTCTTCACAGCTTCTTCTTAGGTTCACCAGACGTGCCTTAGCGGAAATATTGTACCCGGTTTAACTAGGATTCTTTTGTCGAGGTTTTGGAGATGAACGTTGCCTTTTCCGATCTTTACGAGATTTACTTCACGAAAATCTTCTTCCTCTTGTGCGCATGTTTTACTTGTATGCGCACGTGCCAAAGGGTTTGAATTTGTATGGCTTTTGAGTTCAACATAATAAAGTATGTTTTATAACTTGCATGAACACAAAATGTTTCAAATTTATGTCTCAACCTAGTAATTACCACTAAAATTTACAAGGACATCGAAAATTATATAAAGCTGTCAAAAGTTCCCAATTGACACTTGTTCACTTGTGTATCCGAATCTGAACAGAAATATGCCTTTCAAATATTTCGTTAAAAATCCACCCGGTGGACTGCTGGTTTTTTGAGCCACCGAGTACGGGTTCAGGAAGCAAGACCAGCGGAATCGAAAGGAATCGTGAAGGAATCGGTTCCGAGACCAAAATTGAATCACTAAAAGGAACTATTTGACCCAGATCTACTTCGGCATACCATTCTTTGGTCTCCTCTCGTCTAGTACCATTTAACAGATTGAACTCATATTTTAATACTCACTGCGCAAAACCTCTGCACTAATCTTGGAATTTAACTTACATGAGTCTGGTACTCCATAATAGGGACCTCAGTCTTTCCGTCAGGACCGAACTGCCTCCTAACTCCAGCATACCTTATTGCAATTGTCAAGGCTTTCACTCCCATAGTTTCACAGATCACAGCGATGGTTACCCTCCCGGCAGACAATGAGCCTAGAGCTGCTCCATGTCGCTTATTCGGGTCTTTGAATGGAGTTGTGTATTTTCCGTCATCCGTTACGTCGCCCAACTTGTTCAGCAGGTTTTCCTTTGGAATTTCGTAGTTCTCGAACTGGATAAAGCTGCAAGATTGTTTATCTGATCATCTATAGACCAATGAAGTGGAAAAAAAATCGGGACAATTCCGAAACAAATCTATAGTCTACTTTTTATATGCTATCAGTACTATATTTTGCTTAGCCTTTTCAGAACTAGAGGTATCCCTGATAATATCCGTAAGCGGAGGAGATTTTCTAATTTTGTATATGTGAATGTCGACACATAGAATAAAAGTGTCCATAGTTTTTACTTGGTTGATTTAGGAGCTTTTACGGTAAATTCCATTGATAAAGAATCCCTAGGGGATATATCACAACGCCTTTGGTTACGGAGTCAGTCAAGCCGACATTTTTATAGTACAAATCTATCATAGTGGCATTAATTTATATTTTGCACAACTTTATCAGATTTTTCTGGGAATATTTATTCTTCGTGCACGATTTTCATTGTCATTTTGTCCGTGCTATGGACTTGCGCCCTGATGTTGCGTTGTAGGCGATCTGCTGAGGTTTCCACGAAATTACCAGACGACGATTCAAGGGGTAGTACATTGTAAATACAAGATGCAGAATCGAACCAAGACAGATTGTGAAATTAAGGCTAAACCCATGTCGGCAGACTCCGTCGACCTGGCGCCGTTTTGTGGATCCAAAAGAGATTCTAATAGCTCCTCTTTATATACTGTCTCGATGAGAAATTATCAATGCCATGAATTTTAGATTTTTTATTTAAATTTGTAGCCTGCAGTATGCTTCTTATTTGGAAAATATTGTGATTTCTACATGGTGATTTATACTACGCGTGGGTCACCAAACATACATTTTTTTTAATGGAATTGTCCACATTCTATAGCAGCACAGCCGACGTCAACTAGTCAACTAGTTGACGTCGGCTGTGATAGCAGACTTGGAGAGGTCTTTTCAAGCAATGCAATTTGATATAACATACAATAGAGTTTGATGTTGATTGTTGAGATGATGGAAGATCTATCTTCTCCCTATCCACTTACTTTTTCAGTTTTATATAGTTTAGACAGTGTGGTCAAAATATTCAAATAAAACACCCTGTAAATTTTCAGTCTTTTTGATTCCCATTTACACAGGCTTTTTTATATTGGGTTAATGGGGGTTTGTATGACTGTTTTTTGAGTAACAGCTAACCTAAATCAGAAATCAAGGTAAAAAAATAATACAATAACCTTTCAGAATAAAAAATGACATTTTGTTGGTAACTTCGGATCTTTTGAATTTGTGTATTTTCATTGAAAGTCAAGAAGCTGTCTCCGTGTTTATAGTAACTCAAAAACCAGCTGTCACACCCAAAAAACCACACATCAGAAAAAAGCTTGTTGGGAGGGGAATCAAAAAATGTGAAAATATGAACATGAAATCGATTATTTTGCGTTCTTGGCCACCCTATATAGGTAAACTAACCAAAAATGAAAAAGTAAGGATAGAAAGAAAATCTGGAATCATGAATTTTTTTATGATAAATCCAGTATTATAGCCATATCTTTTGCGTTGGAGTGAGTTGTCTAAGTTGAATATTTTCATTTTTGATATATTGACCAATATCTCAATAATTTGAAAATAAAGCCCTACAATAGTATGTTATATCCAATTGCTTCATTCCAAAGGGCCTATCCGAATCTGCAATAAAACCTAGGGCATTTCAATGTATGTTTGGGTAACCACATAGTTATGAATCACCCTGTAGAGAGAAAAATATTTTCCAAGTCAGGAGCATATATAGCTACAATGTACTAACTTTTTCAGATACCATGCATAACAATGAATTTATCGACCAAGGCCACACTAAAAACTCAACCTGGATATTAATTTTGTTATGTCAAAATTTCAGAACAAATATGTAGTTAAGAGGATCTCAGGTTCAGTATGAAGGATTGATATAAAAGGTCAGTAAATTATGACTCAATTCCCTATATAAGTCAGATAGTTGAAAAAGTCAAACTTGGAAGTTTCTCAAAAATCATCTGTGCCTAAACTGTTTAAGATTACGGCTGCTTCTATTTTACATGTATATGAGATTTTGCTTACCCATTATCAATACCATTCAATCCAATCTTTTCTCCCATATCCCCAACAATAACTCCGGGATGAGGCAATAATGTCTTCGGATTCCTAACTGGAACCACAAACGAATGCAATCCGTAATTGTGACCATCTATGACAAGCATGGCATAAATAACCGCGTGGGTAGCCAATTGGCCCAAGCCACCTGCCCAGCACTTTGCTGCTTCAAAATCTGGTGTATTTAGTACGAAGACTTTTTTCTGTTTATCGTAAGTTGCTGTACACCGCATATTACGGACGTTGCTGCCGTGTGCTATCTCTGTCAAGGCATAGCATCCAAAAATCTGAGAAAAATAAAATGTTTGTGGATATGTTGAGTCGAAGCTCTATCTACCAGTTTCAATATATACTCTGTTCGTAGTCCATTTATGCTCCGGCAGAACAAAGATGCAGCGCGGCAAAGCGGCAGCCGCCTAAGGGTACGTACATAGTGAGAGATGCTTACTGTGATGCTTTCTTCGATACCTCGATGAGCGCTTCCTCGCGACTTTCTACATGTACATGGATGGAGGGTGTTCATACTGAATTCACCCTCGATGTTTTCTCTTCTCTCCTCGAACGCAGTTCTTAATGCTTTATTTGTTCACGAGCGAATAATAAGGCAGAATGTTGTCGAGCGACAGTGTCAGTAAGAGTGAATTGTCTCTAGTAACCAAGTGGTGGATGTTTAGTTCTCTACCAAATCTAAAATACAGTACACATCCAGAGTACCACCATCTTTTCCCCGAAGTGAAGAGAGACAATGAAATATTTCACTGCTACATGAGAATGTCGACAGATAGATTTGGTTACATATACTACTCGGCAAAGTTGAGCCTCTACTGGACGCCTGCAAGTACATCAACTTGCACAGTAATTCAATTCTTGCTGAGGAACCAATCACAGCTAAGCCCACCGCAATGTTTCCCTCCTGATAGCGAGGTAAACACAAAATATTTGTTCATCCCCGCGGTTGACCGCGAGGAAGCGAAGGTAGCGGCGCAGAATGCATCGTCACTATGAACGCTCCCAACTTAAAACATGTGTTTGTTTTACATCGCGGTCAGATCGAGGAAGCGATCATAGAGGTTGCGAAGAAAGCATCGCAGTAAGCATCTTCACTATGAACATACCCTTAGCCTTGAAATAGCAATTGGTCATTCGGCCATAAAACTACGAACAAGTGCAGGATTCACAGGATAGAACTCCGCTCGGGATATCGCCGGCACGCTGGCAGTTGCTGTACATAGCGTGTGTTTATACGTTAGCATGACGTCTACGGATACAGCAGATGAAACTGAGAATATTTCTATCAAAGCTTCTTTCAGCCATGCTTCCTCTTCAGTGATGTCTCCTCCTCGAAAACGTGACAACAAGGGACAATGGAATATTCAGGCAAAAGAAATTAAAAAATAGGAGCGAAATTTTAGAGCATCCTGAAATGAAAATTCATGATATTGAAAGACGTTTGGCGATCAAAACAAGCTAAGACATTTTCAACATTGTTAAAGAATATATAAAAAAAAATTGTCTACATCACACAAGAAGCTGCATTACACGAAGCTGTTGGATATATTTGATAACTTTGATCGAAATGCCAACAGACGCAAAGTCCATCAATTTTTTGGAAGACAGGAACTTCCCACCATAGACAAAGTATTACAGGAGGTTAATAGTGATGAAGACTTATCTACTTTCAAAAGGATCACATTCTATAGTTTACTTAAAAAACTTCATTTTGAGTATATAAAACGGGGCAGAAATAGTATTTTGATGGACAACTAAGAGATTACTTTATGGAGAAGAAATTATTTAAAATCAACAAAGAAATACCGCGACCAGGGCAGGAAGATTTATTACTTGGATGAAACCTGGATAAATGAAGGACATATAAAACCTAAAGTATGGGCTGACTCTACAATTAATTCAGCAAGACAAGCGTTCTTAGATAGACTACGAATTGGGTATCGATATTTTGTACTTTGAAGAGTATTGTCGAACCATCCGAAATGTAAAATTCTTGAAACAATTCAACAACACATTTGTTTCTAAAAGGTTACACTGTAATACTGCAGCAGTTGAAGAAATGTAATTGATAATGTGATAACACTGATAACACACAATGTACTATATCAGCGTTTTGCATCGGAAGACGGTACCCCACCGCCCGCTTACGCTGCGCCGGCTTCCTTGCTGTTGTGACGCGCGATGGATGTCCAGCGCAGCGCGGCCGCTGGTGAGAAGAGGAGCTAACGCTTGTTGCTGGCTGGCCGGTGGAGTTAGAATCACCGCGGTCAAAATGTTCACTAGTTATTCCAAATGGATCAACAATGACTTCAAAAAACCCCATCTTACCGCATTGAAGTTCAGAGACTTATTGACGCCTGTATGCAAAGATCATAAAATTCAAGTAGTTATTTTAGAGGAGTTTTAGTGTTCTACCACAACTCCTGTTTCTAAAGTTAATAATTCTGAGCTGTACACCAATATGCGGCCAATAAATGTTCTGCCAGATGTTGAAAAAGTTTTTGAAGAAATTATTTACGAACAGATCATCGAATTTATTGAGGGAAATACCATTTTAACCAAATTTCAAGCTGGATTCAGGAAGAGATACTCAACTGAAACGGCAACACAAATGGTTTTAAAGGACTGGAGGAGATGTAACGACAATCGGAAACATACAGTAACAGTGCTTTTGGACTTCAAAAGGGCGTTTGAGACTATAGACAGGGATAAATTGCTTACAAAATTGCATCACTACGGATTTAAAGGATCTGTATTCAAAATTCTACAAAACTATTTAATTGACAGAAGTCAAAAAACCAAAATTGGATATATATATATTTCTATTGGTATACCACAAGGTAGTAAACTAGGTCCACTACTATTTATTTTATACATTAATGACATTTGTAATAGGTTAGATTATTGTAAACTTCAGATATTTGCAGATGATACATTAATATACATATCAGATGAAAATAAAGACACTGCTTTAAAACTTATAAATTCTGACTTGGGAAAAATCGTAAATTGGTTAAATGTAAATAAACTAAAATTGAATACTTCTAAAACAAAATGTATGCTAATAGGGAAATACCTAAATGAAAATACTATCACAGTTAGGATAAATGGAGAAATAATTGGAAATGTTGAAACTATTAAATATTTAGGTATATATATATATTGATAGTAAACTAAATTTTGAGGATCACTATGAATAAATTATTTAAAAAATTGACAAAAGAACAAATTACTTTTATAGGGCTTCTCATAGTCTTGGTACCTATTCCAAGAAAATAGTTTATAATACAATTATTCTACCGCATTTACTATATTGTTTAACTATCTTGTTCACTGTCAATAAAGCTGTATTCTCAAAATTACAAGTCTTACAAAATAAAGCTATGAGAATAATATTGAATAAAAATAAGTACACCAAAATAAAATCTATGTTACAAGAATTGCAGTGGTTGAATATAAAAAATTTCAAATGATATTTGATTCTTATTTTTATATTTAAAATAAAAAATCATCTTTTGCCACAACATTTAGAACACTACATAGAATTGAATAATCATTACCACAATTATTATACAAGAGGAAATATAGATTTTCATTTACAAAATTGCAATAGTAATATAACTAGCAAATCAATATTTCAGAAAGGATTACTTGAATTTAATAAACTAAATAATGATATAAAGTCTACTTGTAATTTAAAGATATTTAAAACAAAATTAAAGGAATATTTCATGGATAATGAAAATCCTTAGAGATGCAAATTTTGATTTTTTTTCTGAATGTCTGTGTGTTATGTAATTGTTTAGTTTTTCAGAAGAATGTAATTGTAGCAATCAGGCTAAATAAATCTTAAACAAGCAAACAAACTGGCTAAAAAACACGTTGAAATGGCGAGACTAAGTTAAAATCTTCTTGACCATATTTTTTGGTTTTCATATACCTTGCCTTCCTCCATATCACTGATAAATTTCATATGCCTTTTGGTGCCCATATTCATGATAGCCGAACTAAACAAGCGATCTCCCACAACATATTTGATGGTTGCAGATGGTGAGACCTGCATCATGATTCTAGTTGCAGTGGGTGGCATCTTAAGATTATGAATGGTATTAAGAAGAGCCAGTTGGTCCATGGACTTCTGGGCCATAGCTTGTACTGTTGCTACCCTTCTTTGCCCGTCAAAGGTGGATAGAACTGTTTTGTCCACCTTGTAGTCTGGGTGGTCCCTGATTACACTGTACAAGTCATTCTGGAAGATCAATTAGTCAGATTAATCCATTTTGGTTTTCCTGGTAGACGATACAGCCTGACAAATATTGAATAAAAAAATTGACAATACTGTAGTTTCGTAAAAACTACGCTAATAGGGCAAACATAGCAACACAGAAATTTTATATGTTTTAGTTTAGAGTAAAATTATAGCTCTCAAAGAAATGTATAATGAATAAAAATCATATATTTTGATAAGATATATCTCAGATATGCCCCACAACTCAACTACAACTTTTTAAATATTCTTCAAATTGTTATTTAAAATAGTTTTTCATACAAAGATATTTTTCCCGCGTCAGCACAAAGTAAAACAAAATGGTATATACACTAATTATAGCATGTTAGATGTACGTATACATATGTACAAAAATATGTTATTTTAGAAAGTCATATAGATATAAGTATTTTCTTTTGTTTACATATATTCATTTTCACCTCAAACAGATTTTATATAGACAGTACCGGAAACAAATATTATTATCATGAACTATTTCATATACCTAAATTAAAATTGTGAAGGAACAAATAATATAAATATTAAAGTCTACCTTTGGCACCCGTACTAATACAAGGTTTATCTTATCAATATTCAAATTCTCTGAAAATAAAAATACGCACTTTTTTAAATACCACAGTTTTTGTAACGACAAAAGTATGGAAACATTTCAGTTTTGCCGAATTTATTCGTTCTGCGTGCGGTTAATATTAACATCAGTGAGAATGACAAAAGTAAAAGAATAATCAAAAGATTTAAGAGACAAAGTAATTGAATTATTTAGAAGAGGTGTCAGAAGTGTTGGCATTTCTCAGAGATTAAAAACGAACAGAGGGACGATTTCGAAAATTATTAGTAAATATATCAAGAATACGGATCAACAGCAACGCGGCCCAGGTGTGAAAGACCCGGACCTAAGCCCTATAGAACATCTCTGGGAGCATGTTAAAAGACAACTGACAAAAAACAATTTTAAAATAGGAACGTTTTATTTGATTATGTAAAAAATATTTGGCAAAATGTGTCTTCTATGAGCAGCAGATGTCAGACAGTGTTGAGTGCTAAAGGCTATGCTACCAAATATTAACTAAGCAGTATTTTTTAAATCTTTTTGTAGAGTTATTGTATTTCATTTTGTAATAAAAAATATGTTTCCATACTTTCATTGTCTCATTTTTGGTCATAAAATCATGTGAAGGTATTTTAATGCTAGTCTGTAGTACCACAGCAAACACAAATTGTCAGTTGTATCCTCAAGACCTTATGAGAAAAAAAAATAGTCCTTAATAATAAAGAATAAAAAATTGGCGCACTTTTTAAAAATTACTAAGGATGTTTCCAAACTTTTGTCCACTACTGTATGTATGTGCAGTTTAGATCTCTGCATTAATTTTTTAGAAATGCAGCTCAAAATGTTACTTGCTTTGTGGACACTCCCTCATATAACTGTTCATAATCAGATATGAGTTAATAGTACACAATGTTGAAATTGCTTCAAACTACACTAATCTCAAAATACTCTTCAAGGTCTTTTAGAGCAAGGTTTTAATTTTAGATACTACAAGTTTTTAAGCATAATATATAGTACATGTTGACTAGATCAAATTTGTTCATTTTTTTTTAATAAATTACAATTTTTTTGACCAAACAAATCTTTCCAGGTTTTTTTATTCATTCCAGACAAAAAAGGCTTCCAATAACTTTTCTCTAAAGCTGACCATTTTCTAGTTATAAGACAATGTCTTTGAAGCCCTCAAATGGGATAATCACTGCTTAAAAACTCAGTTTTTTTATTATTTTTGTGGTCACTTAGTATCTATATTAAAGATAAAAACCTTGCTCTATAAGATTCCAAAAAGTATTTTGAAGTACTTTATTTTAAAGCTACTTTTAACTTTGTTAGGCTAAATTTAGTGAACGTTTGGTTTTTCTCAATCTAATTATAAACATCTGCATTGTAATATGTTTTGAATGTGGATGAGTAAAAAAATGAAGTCACCACAGAAGTATCATAAATCAGAAATGGTTCATCCGAAAACTTTCAACTATCATAATTGTCCGCTACTGCAAAAATCAGATAACTCCATTTTTCTACCACCACTAGTTGAGTACATTTTCACACTTAAGACCTGTTAAGACTATTTAGTTGATGTTTTCATATATTATTCTAATTCTGTCTTTCAATAAAATTTTCACCTCCCTGCAACCTCCATTTTCTAACCCCATTTACCAGGTGTGAGGGAATTCTCTCGATTTTGCACTGACTAGACAGAATATAGACAGTCATTTGTGCAGTTATAATTAAAATTACATCATTGTGAAATGCAACCTAATGCAGTGATTCAGCATTATCTTTTACAGTAAAAATATACAAATGTTTATGAAATAACACAGCATATTGGTGAAAAATCGTATTTTACCTGATATTTAACAATATCCTCTGTCTCTATAAACACTTTTAATTTTTTCCAATCAAAAGAGGCCTTTTTCCTATAAAAGTCCAGAGGACCAGACTTCAAATCTGGTATTAGGTTAGACATCTTCAACAGTTTATTGGCCAGTGTTATTTGGAGGTTGTAATACTTTTTATAAAGATATTCTTGAAGTATTTGGCCCCGGACAATACTGTTATCGTCGTTGCACCTTGACCTGACGATATGTAGGTGATGAGCAGATATTTGAAAAGCAAATCATTCAACACAAACCGATACTATTTTAAATTTTAAGTTATGGGCTATCAAGGATTGTGACAAGTCCTGTGCATTCATGGTATTTTATTAGCTTGATAACTTCCAAGTATTATCGTGTTTATTTCTTAAAAGATTCCATCAAAGCCACAAAATCAAAAGCATGTAATGAAATGAGTATTCCTTGTTTTGTTGTCAGTGACAAAAACATGACAGATAACAGGTGATAAGTGCTTGGCAATTGAGATGGGAAGTATCACAAAACGAATAACACTGAATACTCGAATATAGGACCACTAAATATAAAAATAGCTTTATACATATTATAGCATTTTTACCAATTCTATAAGTTGTAATGAATTTATGTACGGTCATTCCCAGTGGGAGTGGGCAAGATCAGTTTAGCGCATAGCTAGGCAACATCATATCATTAATTTGTATGGATGGTTGATTTGGCAGTCCCTGAACTTTTAAATATTTTTGTGCGTTACAATCAGTGTTTAACAATGACCAGTTTCATGAAAATATCACGTTTAAGTATAACATTAACAATATTTATACAGCTTGTTCCATCTTTGACTACATCTTGCCACCATTTCCGCCTGCTCATTCCATAGTGTGATCCTTTTATTGAGTTTTCCAAGTGTTTGTATACCTGAAAAAATGGAAAGACGTGTATATTCGATTTGTTCACGGTTTTTGGCGTTATGTCATTGATGCCATATGAAATAAGTAAGCTCCAAAATGTTTGGCAAAAACTATCGATATTGTCCGTTATTTCGATTTTCAAGTAATGCTCTT